TGTATAACGGACGGTATAAGCTAAGCTAAAATTATCTAATTCAATTAATGTTGCAGATTGCGTTGTTCCTTAATCTTCGAATTGGATTCGGCTTATTGTTTTTTGCAGAATGTTAGAGCAATTTTATAAAAGTAAGCTTGAACTTTCGATTATGTCAATAGAATTGTGATATATATTTACTAATATGTAAAGGATCTACAAAGCGAAAGTATGTTTCGAAGTACATTAAACAAAAAGTGGAATTGCTGCAAAAAATGGATAAAGGCATATCCTTTGTTTATCTAAACTTTAACGTTTGTTTATCTTTAACGCTGCGGCGCGCAATGAATTGGAAGTTGATCTGTCAGCACTATCCTTATCTTCAGGGCAGATATTTTAATTTTATTTGGCTTATAATTCCTTACTAAATGTAGTATTTCATCTCAATGTACTCCGTCTTTGATATGATTTAAATCAAATTCCTCTTCATTATAATTCGCATCCGATAGCGAAGAAAGTGACAGAGGTTATTGAAAACGAAAAAATTTCGATTGACAAATTAGTCGGTATTCTCGACACAGCAATTATAGGACTTAAACAGCGGAACTTTGTAACTAAACAAGAAATTATGTTTGTTTATAGAATTAAAGAGAATGTATTATCACATAAAAAACGAAGCAACTTAAACAACTTACATTGAAAGAAATGTTTAATAAAGTAAACAAATAAATATTAAGCTTTTTTTTTTGTAAATTTTGATACCCTTTAGATCATAATTGTTCTTTATTTCATAAATTACGGTTTCATATTTTTAATTTTATAATTTCTGCATGCCATCTTATCAGATTTAAACTGATGATCTATAATCCGGAAAAATCGATAATCCGGAATCACCGAAGTCCCGACGAGTCCGGATTAACGACTTTTGACTGTATAGAGTTTCCGAAGTAGACATCATATCGATCAGGAACATTGTAGGAAGTGGACAAAGTCCTCGATGAACTGTTTCAGGGCTACACCAGTGACCGATGACTTCAGTTATTGGCTGGATGCTCATATCTTGCGTGTTAATCGTCTGATTGTTTGATAGATGCAATAATTTGCATAACTTGCACATATTCACCCATATAGAAACTTTAATCTTTATGTGTTTGCTTCTTCACGAGTATTATTTTCTCTATAAGGCAGCGTAATTAATTTTCCAGCCGAAATTCCCTAGTCATTATCATTTGACAGTCAGTTGTTATTATTATGAACAGTCAATGTGTCATGGGAAGAATCTGCTTCGTGGAACACTTTTTTATGGTTTCACTTTTAAAATTATTGTCTTAACAAAACTAATCATCGTAACAAACGAGTATAAAATACTTCTTGCTTGGTCTCTAATATCATAGCTTCACTATGCATGCTGGTGTGAATCAACCAGATATCTAGTTGGCCTTGTGTGTATTGATACTTGCTGTGATGACGTCATTTGCCATGCTGAAGCGTCACCATCGAGATAGATAAGGCCTGCGCGCTGAATTACTACGTCACTGCTAGGGGACCGGTCTTCGCGCAGTTTAGCTTCCTTGCTAAACACCCGTTTTTCTAAACCTATTCTATGAAATTGGATCTCGTACTATAAAATCAGTCTAAAAACAAAATTACAAGCGGCAATATAATGTTTTACAAAGCTTATACGAATATGAAATATTTCATTTTCTTTTTGTTGGTATTTATTTTCAAAACAAAATTATTTGAGAATGGGTGGTGCTTTTAAAAGCAAATCATTTCTTGAAGAAAAATTGGTTTTAAAAATTCAAGTAGCTAAAATTTTTACTTTATTTTTCTGCACTGTTTTGGTGTCTCTCGTCGATTCTCATCACCGCATCAAATTTTTTGTTTCACCCCACTACTTTAACAAATGTTTGCCAGTGGGAAACATGTTTATCTCTCATTCTATAATTATTGCATATTTTTTATATCTATCATATTAATGTAGCAGGACTATAAAACATCAAACGAATACAAGAGACTACTTAATATTTAGACTAACATTTAAATGCCTTTATCAGTGAGAAATTTTTCTGAATGTAATAAATTACTAAATAGTCTAGTCTTAAAATTATTTTCTTACTTAACATATTGTATGTTAATCTGTATTACAGTTAATGTTTCCTCTTAATGCTACATAATTATTCGACAGAATCTGTAGTTAAATGAGATAATGTTATTACATAGCTCTGAAGATTATCAATATTAAAATTCCAAATAAGACAGGAAAAAAGTTTTTTAAATAAAGTTATACACAATTTTTTTTTACAATATTTAAAAATATATGAAATACTTTAAAAACTTTTAGAAACTGAAATTTCTTGCAAATATTGCATATACCTATTTAACTATAAGCGTTACCTCTGTTCTGAAAATATTTTTTGTTAATATCCACTGAAAAGAAATATAAATCCTAACATCATGTTCAAAACTTTTCTGTAAGCAATTTTTTAACTTAACTTGCATAGCTTTGGTGGTGCCACGTACTCAAATTAAAGATTGTAATTTAAAAGATAATTTAAAAAATTTTTTTTTTAAATTGCCTTGAATTGAATACAATGAAAACAAGTATGTCTACATATGAATTCAATTACTACTGCTTCTTCAATAACTGTACTTTTTTAAAATTTCATTTTGCAGTTTCGCAATTTAATTACCTTAATATGAATCTTACATACATTACTTTAGAAACTTTTCTATCATTCTCAGAAAGATTTATATTGCATAACAAATTAAACAAACTGATTGCATGATAATAACATATATAAAAGTGAACAGAATCTATATTAGCTAAACATATGCATTTAAGTTTCATCATGATAAAATGATATTTAACGATTTGCAAAAAACATTGATATTTAAATTTAAGAACACAGTACTCTGTTAAGATCAAATTTACTCTGCATTGATATTCTACATATTATGTAATGAAATAAGTGTTATGCTTTTAACCCCTTACGACAGTTATTTATATAAAATTAGTTTCCAATTAAAATAAATAATCATAAATTTTGTGCTGACAATTTTTATATTACTAGTGTTAGTAATTATTACAAGAGATGCTTCAGATGTCAAAAGTAAACATAAATTCAATTCTTAAAACATAATGGATAAAAAATTACAACTTATAAAAGCCAACAAAAAATTTGCTGAGGGTCTCCTAACCGTGACGTCACAAGCCAGTTTCGTTTCAGAGCGCAGGCCTTATCTATCTCGATGGTGACGGCTGAAGACCGCCTTCTGTGAAATTCTTCGCGTGCGATCTTTCTTTCGTCGAAGTAGCAACAAAAAAGACTTCGAAAGATAAACATTCATTGGATTTTCGTTTTAAAAAGGCTACTTATCATTTGTTTCAATCCTGTTTTCTCGTTAATAAAATTGATTTTAGATTTTATTTAACGAAATTCACGTACATTCCAGAAATCTTAATTCAACTGTCAAACTAATCTCTTGAATCTTCTAATCATTGCAACTAAATCATTTTTGCAAATAGTAATGAAGTTTGTTTTCCCGTTTAGTTCTAAGGAGCTGAATATGAAATTATGCACAACTGATCCGTTAATGTTGAAGGCAGTTTGGTACATGAAAAATATTGCTCTATAACTGATTTTTCGTATTTATATCAGATGATTCACCTAGTGGGAGTGAAAATACATGACCATCACGTAACTTTTCATTTACTGGTTTGTTGTCAAAATAGTGGTAGTATAAGGTATTTTCTCCCTCCTTTCTGCATGCCTTCGTGGTGTAATGGTAGCACACTCAGCCTTTATTCGAGAGTTCCAGGTTCGAGTCCCGAGGAGGGCATTGCTCATTTTTCATATCTGCTGCTTCAAAAAAAAAAAAAAAAAAACCTATTAACGCTACAGTGGCGCCCGAACTAAAAAGGTTGTGAATGATAACTCTTCACCACCAGGATTTCACCATTGGGTCCTTTAATCCCCAATCGCCCTTTAAAAGTGAGGGTATATAAGGTATTTTCTGCATGCTTTCGTAGTGTAACCATAGTACACTCGCAGCGTATTCGAGAGGTCCAAATCGAAGTCCCGGCGAGCGCATTGCTAATTTTTTATGTCTCCTGCTTCAAAAAAACTCTACAGTAACGTCTATCTGTGATTGCCTATTTTTAATCGAATATCTATTCCATTTTTTTTCGAGGTGAGATATTAAAGTCAGGACAGCAAACGGACAGCGTTCTTTCTATAGACAACTAGCTACTCATTTATAAATCCAAATTGCATCTCATACTACGTTATGTTTCTCTGTCTGGGCATACTCATGTCCCACAAGTAGAATAACGTGCAAACATCTCGGAACTGTGTTCTGCGCCAGATAACGAACTCACCATGTTGTGTGAGTAATATTAGAAAATATGCAGAATTGCAAATTGAGCAATTAAGAACTTATTATTACCAAGTAGCCAAAAATTTCTATGAAAAACAAAAACTTATTGACTATCCTGCGATCAGGATTTGTAATTACAATATTGATGATCCCATGTACATAAAAAGGCCAATGGAAATACTTAATGCACAAATGGGTTAGTTTTCAGTCTAATTTCTCATTTACTTACTGCACCCTTTATGTATTTGTTTTCTCTAACTTGTTATCTGTGTACCTGAACTGAATGTCATAACACGTTCTCATATTTATTGTCGTACTTGTTCTGTATGTCATTGTCAAAGCGCACCAATGATTCGTGCTAGCAGACTTGCATTTAGCTGTCATGTTTTCATGAGCTGTCACTAATAACCACTGACTCGAATGGCTTTACTGAGGTAACTTTTCATGTCTAACATCGAATTTTTGCGCACATCAATCGCTTCAAAAAATATATTAATAACTTGTACAAATTGTAATATCTACTTATGCAGTTATGCCTGATATCGATTCGAAATGTAAATTTGCTCGATTAGGGTTAAGATCATCTGGTATGTCTGCTTCTGCGAAACATAATAATGTGTGAAAGAGAAAGCCATGCGCAAGTTGATTGAGTAGATTGTGTTGTTAAAAAGAAGGTAACTACAATAACTTGGAGCTTTAGATTTATGTTTTTGTACAACTTTTGAACTTAGTCAGAACTTCGAGTGAAACTCTAGAAATTTTCTATTCCACTCCTAAAAAAATTGCCTTTTTATAATTTTCTTTTCTTTTACATTATGCTGTATTTTCCGTCCTGAGGGCAGAAAAACTCAACTAATGGAAAACTAACCTTTTGTCTGTTTGCTTTACTGTCGTTAAAAGTTTGAAATCCGCTATTTGTTTTTACGTTAATGATGATTTAATTAATAATATGAACACAAAAATTCAGCAAAACATTTACTGCCTTTCGTAATCATTTGTGTAATTATTCACAGGTGCATATTCTGTTGCAAGGGTACAGTCGAATGGCTTTTAGCATTAAATACCATTAAGCGAAATGTCGGAGAAGTTTATTGTTGCTATTTTGCCTGCTGCACCTGTGGTAAATAACATTACTGTTCATAACAGTGAATTTCTGCTGGAACATGTAAATACACAGGAAACCGCTCTGAATTTGTCCAAAAAGATGCAAGTGACTTTGCTTGAAGATGAAGCAAATACCCAGGATGCAGCATTAAATTTGTCCAAGAAGATGCAAGTGTCTTGGTTGCAGGAAGATGCATATTTTGCAACTGAATTCCAGGAAGATGTTGATTTTACAACGGAAGTGGTTGAGGAAAATGCAAATTTTACTACTGAATTGCCTTTGAAGGATGGGAATTTTTCTTCTAAATTGGACCTGGAAGATTGTAATTTTGCTTCTAAATTGGCCCAGGAAGATCTGAATTTTGCGTCAAGCTTGGTCCAGGAAAATGAAAATTGTGCTGTTGAATCCACCCAAGAAGTTGCTAACTGTGCTAATGAATTGGTGCAAAATGATACAAATTTACCCACTGAATTTGCTCAGGAAGAAGCAGATGCTGAGGAAACAGTAGATGATCCTTGTGAAGAGAAAGACACAAATAATGAAAAACCTACGTGTGATACCTGTGGTAAGGTATTCACCCATAAGCAAACTCTGAAGGCTCATTGCTTGCTTCATGCTGGAGTGAAACCTTTCGTTTGTAACATTTGTAGTCGAGCTTTTGCAAAGAAACACACTCTCAAGAATCATTATATGATCCATGCTGGAGTGAAACCTTTTATTTGTGAAGTGTGTTACAAGACTTTTTCAAAAAAATGTAGTCTCACTATTCATTCCTTAACTCATACAGGTGAACGTAAATACCACTGTAGTATATGTAATAAAACTTTTGCTCGAAAAACTGATTTGCAGAAGCATCATTTGACACATACTGGTGAAAAGCCATATGTTTGCGATTATTGCCATAAAGGTTTCAGTCATCAGAATAATCTAAGAAGACACAAGTTTAAACATACAGGGGAACAACCATATACTTGTGATGTGTGTCTAAAAACTTTTGCACAGAAGGATGTTTGTTTGACACATATGAAAAAGCATTTAGAAGAAGCTGGCAAAAAGGCAGAACGTGGAAATGAAGCTGGTTTAGAGAGCCGTTTAAAATCCATAATTTTGGAAAAACTTCACACATGCGATGTTTGTAACAAGTCTTTTGCCCGGAATGATCGACTTATGAGGCATAAGCAAACTCATTCTAACAGTTCTGTTACATGTGAAGTTTGCAATGAAACATTTCAGAATAAGTTGCATTTACATATGCATCTCTTAAGCCATGTTGAATTTCCGTTTGAAGATTTTACGTTTGAAGAATGTGATAAAACACAAGAAGTTGTCCAAGTTCCAAAAGTAAAAGTTAAAAAGACTCATCAATGTGAGTTATGTTTCAAAATTTTTAAACGTAAATCATCTTTAAAAGATCATTATTTGACTCACACTCAAGAAAAACCACATGAGTGTCATGTTTGTCATAAACGTTTCACGTTGAGAATCACTCTTGATCGCCACATAGTAGTTCATACTGGTGAAAAACCACATGAATGTGAGATTTGTCATAAAAAATTTGCCAGAAAAACATCCCTTCGTAAACATTATGTTACTCATTCAGCTCAAGATCGATTCTGAATCTTGGTGCACATGCTGTGCAGGATATATTTCATTAGTATTTCTTTATATATTATAATACTTTCATATTCATAAATATGGCCAGTACCATTTAGAACTTTCACGGGACATTTATTATGTTTGTCAACTCTGATTATATGTATGAAAATTTTATAACAGCATGGACATATTCATTTGATGTTTTTCTAAAGCTAAATTTCTTTCTGTCCTATTAGCCCAAGAAATTGTATTATGCATTCTGCTCAAAAATATATTTGATTGTTTTGAAAGGAACTAAAATAATGACACAAGAATATAAGTAAGGTAGATATTATCAAAATAACCCTATGTAATATACATATTTTTAGCTAATTTTTGTAAATTTATTTTATTAAAAAAGACCTTACATTGTAATTCCTTAAGTTGTTGAAAACAATTCAGTCCAAGTTTTTAAATTATGTTTTGAGAAATGAGCTACTAAAGATTTAATTAGAAATATTTTTCCTAAGTTGTTAAAGTCTTTTTAAACTCATAATTGACTGTCATCTTTTCAGCCTATGAACCTTTTAATGGTCATCAACAAGCTGAGCTTGCATTTTAGTTACACGGTGCATAATTGAAATGCATTGCTCACAAACAAGGAGCTTGTTACAAATTTACAATTGACAGATTGTGCACATTTGGGAAGAAAGAATTGCTTAATCTAGGAACTGCCAAAGGAAAAATGTTTTATTATTATTATTATTATTATTTATTATTTATTGTTTATAGCTTTGAAAATTCATGCTTTGCATGCAAGAAGTAAATTTTAGAACTTACTCATTATAATGGTCCCTATCCTCACATAGCAATAATTTTCCGAACTACATTGTTTAAAGACTTTCATAAAATAGCTTTTAGTTATTCTAAAAAGAACATACTATTAATTTTTAAGTTTAAAGTTTTTATTTGTGGAAAAAAATATTTAATATTTAAAGGAGGTTCAGTGAATACGTACTTTAATGGGAAACATATTTTGTAATAACACTTGTACACATTTACGTTTTTTAGTGTTTTTTCGGGAGCTAAAATATGATGGTAAAATAAAACAAATTCATTAGTTTAATGCTTATATATTATTCAAATATAATGTTACCATTTCTTCCAAAAAGCCTTCACTCTGATAAAGAAAAGGATCACAAGACTTAGCATGACCCAGAAGGATTTGGGAATCTGCAATGACACAAATATTGTTGAACAAAGTATGACAAAGAAATTGTTATCTAATTTAATGGCATTATTTTTACTTATTCTGATTTTTATAACGTTCATATAGATTCAGGATCAAGGAATGAAGTTGTTGAAAAAAATTAACTGTTCCATAATGGAAAATGTGAGCATTTTTATTATTAGTATGCTTCATAAACAAAATTACATATTGAATTTTTAAAAGTAGAGTTTGGGATATAATATAGATGTAATTTTATCATTGCATATGGTGTGTAATCTTAGGCTAATATGAAATAATTTTTAATCTCCCACCAAAAGAAAATTTAAAACATAGTTTATTTTCATTTTTATTTAGTTTCATAAATGTTAGTTTTTGTTGTAAATTTGGAGCGTTGTGGATCTTTATGCTTGTCTTATTTAATCTCCACTCCATTTGGTAATCTCGCGTTATCCACTAATCCCATTCGCGGAGTTGCCAGTTGTTTGTGACTAATTTTTCAACAACCTAGCACATGGAAAAGCCATTTTAAAAAATAGTGGCACACTAAAAATTGCATAAAACAACAACAAATTAATGGACTTAAAAACATCCATAAAGAAATACTAAAAACTTACAAAAAAAGCAACAAATTAACTAAATTTAAAATGCAACAAGCATTCATAATAAAACACTACTTTCTTTTTCCCTCGTCTTCTGTCCATGTGCACATCGATCTGTTTTAACTTGAAACACATCACAGAGTTGAAGAATTATCTGCATTGCCGAAGAAACTGGCACTTCTCCTCTCCATGTACACATTGACCTGTTTTAATATAAAAAAAGTATCAGAGAATCGCACAAATTCATTTCATGGAATGTGCAACTAGGCAAAATGCAAAATTTCTGAAAAAATGCAGAACTTTTTTTGGTACTTTTCCGTTTCGCCGGCGCAAATCTCGCCAAGCAGACTTTATTGGCGACAACATACAGTATACACATAAAAAATATTAAAAAACAATGTTAGTTCTAAGAATTTTTTATTTTGAAGGCATAAACATTTTAATATCGCTTAAAATTTTATAAAAAGCCAATAAATAAAGACAATAAATTTGTAAAAAGACATTAATTTAAGAATTTACTATGCTTTCATGGTTCAACATCCTGATTCGCCGGTTCCTATCACGTGACCCCAAGCGATCTCATCCCATGTAAACTACAAAAATCTAATGTTCTCAGTAATTATCTAGATTAATTTCAAGTTAAATCTTAATTTGGAACACAAGTTTAAATGCAACAAATATTTCAATTCGCGTATGAATAGCTTGCTCAGAAAATTATGTAAAACTGCAGTGCTTTACGTTCGCACTAATGCATTTTCTCATTAGAAATGGACGAATTTAACCCTCGACTTTACCTTTTCTATATTTTAGGCTTCGGGTAAGCGCTGTGAATTGCATCCTAATTGACTTAATTACCGAAAATGGCCTTAGACATAAAACTGTACTATCTGATTAAAAATCCTATGTAATTATATGCCAGTATTGAAAGAAACAATCAATCTGATAAGAAAAAGCTGCGACTTGTTTCTAAAATGAGGCGTAAAAGGTTACTAGCGAGAATATTCCTTTTGGAATCGGTTGTACCATTATTGGCGACTTTATCGCTTGCGCCGGCATAACGGAAAAGTACCCTTTTTTTTTTTTCATTAGCAGGCATATTTCGTAGTGTCATTACAATTTGTTACATAGGAAAATAAAACTCCACACTAATCGTAACAAAAATCGAAGACATGACCCTCAGATTTGAAAACCATGCACAATATTCCCACCACTGAGATAGATGGTGGCGTTGCGTGCTGATATAATACTATACACACAACCATTAGGGGATTGCTAGATGACTACATTTTCATTAAATTCTGGGTTGCTTACTTTGGCAACATAATGCTTTGCTTAGTAATTCTTCTTAGGGGTGGGTGAATAATGTGATAGTATCCTCCATACATACTGAAATATATGTTTTGTAAATTCTGTACTTATTTCACTAACTTTTTTTTAGTATAAGTGGATTTTTTTAAAATTCTGTCTAATTGTATTTTATTTATTTTGTGAAAGAATGTGATATAAAAGAGTTATCCATAAAATCCAAATATGTTATCTCATGTAATAATAATTTTTTTTTAGGCTATTAGTTTTCTATCATTTTTCTATAAGTAGCATTTTGTGTATTTTGAAAAGAAAAAGTATATTTATCTACTACTTACAAATATGTGAATATTGATTTACAAATTTTATGTACTAAGCAAATTATTTTTTACACTAATTAAAAAAAGTTTGTAGAAACAAATTTATATGTGTTGACTTACACTCAGGAAGATTTCCTACAGATGTAAACTCAGGAAGCAGAGCATATAGAATTATAATCAAGGTTTCTTTTCTATAAATCTTAAAAAGGTGTTGAATTATTTTTTGTGTGTGTGACTTTGTTTGATAATGTAAGTAATATAATTATTTTTAGGACAAAATAGTCATTAGTTAAGAATAAAAAAATTTTAATTTGCATATGTGTAACTGTACAGATAAGAATTCAAAATTTTTGAAGACTTATTTCTAAAATATATCTTCCAAAGTAGTTACTAAATATTCTTCAGTTTGTGCACCATTTTTGTAAATGAAGCAAAATGTAATCTTTTATTTGCCTTGATTTTATTTTAAATATTCTCATAGTTATTAAATATACTGTAAGCATTATGCTTCTGACATTATGTTTAAATTCTTCTTAATCTAAATATTTAAAGTTAATTAAATACATGTTAATATATTATTTTTGTTCTATATTCCATGTTGCCATAATTATTGCAGATTGAATTTTCTGATTGAAAAATTGCAGTATAATATTTGATTTCCTTTCTGAATCATAATCCCTTTGAAAATGAAAAGAAGTAAATTGTATTTTCTCTCTTTTAGTCTAATAACAATATATGAATTCTGTTTCCAACCCCCAACAAATATTTTGGATAATGCAGAAATTCTGCAGTCATACATTACTTACTATACACCTACATGCATTTCTCTATAAAAATAATTATAAATGAATTCTAGGTGTATTCATTGTTATAAATGTTTTGTTGTTGTTGTTGACTAACGCTCACTTGTCTGACCTATAGTCAGCCCAATCCTACGAAATTCCTGGTGGCAAGGAGCGCAAGATTACGCCTGTGATTGGCAACAGCCTTCAGTACGTTACAGGTGACAGTGCAATTTAACTCAGTTCTGCCCCCAATTTTGATAGAGAGCACCCTGGGGGGGAATCCGAGGGTTTCCCACTCCCTCCTTCCCCTATCACCAACCTCTCGAAGAAGACTTTCGGCTTACCACTTATTTAGAGTGCCGCCATGCCGTGCGGACACTGTCACAACCCTCGCAGTATAGAATGGAGTGCTTCCGATTAAACTTTGATTTTGATGATTCTAACTTCTTTTTCAATTTATTACTATGTTGTTTCCATTAAGTGTCTCCTGTAATTGAGTCAGTGTGTGTAGAAATAAATGATGTGTGTTAATCTTCTTTTAGTAGTAGTTTTTTTTTTTTTTTTTAAATTTAAGAAGACAGCCTTCCTAGCTTCAATATGAATGTACGAGTGAAGAGGGAAGGTAAGAAGATTTGATTATTATATTTGTTCCAATTAATTTTAATTCAGAATCTCGATTGCTCTTAAAATTGTGGCACCCGAACAGGGACACTGGTTTTTAGTGAAAGGCTGTTTTTTTTTAATGAAGTGAAATAATGGATACATTATTAAAAGTGAGGACCGCAACTCAGAACAAATTTTACCAAAGCCACTAATAGACTAGATGAAGCTCTAAAAGCTAAACTGACAGATCAAGAAGAAATTAATGTAGCGTTTTTGCTATTAAATGATCAGTTTACAAAATTAGAATCTATTAATCGAGATATTTTAGATCTTTTATCAAAAGATCCGAAAACGGATCAAAGTATGTTTGATCAAGAATATGAAAAGATAAATTCTTTATTCTGACACATGCACATCTTTGAAAACAAAAGTGGAACGATTTCAAAATGAACTGTGTAATACCATATCTGGTAATGACTCTTCTGTTGAAGTGGTAAATAAAAGAAGTGTTAAATTACCTAAAATCAAGTTACAAAAATATGATGGTTCGATTAAAGGTTGGCTTGGGTTTTGGAGTTTGTTTAGGAAATTCCATGGAGACCCATGTTTATCAAATGAAGACAAGTTTATGTATCTTATTCAAAGCACTCCATTCTATACTGTGAGGATTGTGACAGACACTATACATTTACAAACATCCATGCCTTGTCCGGCATTCAAAGAGCTCGTCGGCATGGCAATCAGCAACGGTAACCACTATACCAGTTGGACGGTGTTATAAATGTTAGATACATGTTTTAAAAGAAGTGTTTCTGGCAGCTTAGAATATATTGAAATAACATGAGTAGTCTACCTTGAATATTATTCTTTTCAGGTATCATTTTATGCTTTCTTGATTAGCAGACATTGATTAATCTTATGGCAGACATTGAAAAATTTTTCCAGCAAATGAAATCTGCTAAGTTTGATATTTTTCAAATTTTTGATATATTTAAAAAATGAGTAGTGTTCGTGAAGGTGTCTTAAAACCAGTATTGAAAGAAATGGTATTTTCAGGAATTTTCTCTTGGTGACTAGTGCTATGCACAGAAATGGCCTGATTTTTTATAAATTTCAGAGATTATATTCCAAAAAGGTACCGTATATTGCATTGAATACCATTATCCTTCTTCCCTTTCTTTCCAGTATATTTATCAACATCACATTTCCTTTAAATTAATCATGGCTCCACAATTCAATCTTCTGCTTTAGTATATGTGAAAGATATGGTGAAGTTTGTTATCAAAACCCAACAACATTTTTAAATATTAACTTGAACATAAGCATTTTTAAAAATTCATTCAGAAAATAAGAGTCTTGTGTTGTTTTAGAATTACCCTTAAAATATTTTATAACATACTGAATCAAATTTGTTTGTTAAACTCAAGATTTAGGATCTGATTTTCTAGTAAACCACATTGTAATTGATTGTTCTGCATGTAAGCATTTATTATTCATAATAGCATGATAGCTTCTAAGTATCAAATGAACAATTTTATCTGTGAATCTGTAAATACTCATTGTTAGCTGTTTGTACTTGTTATTCTTGAACTAATCACAAATATATAAACTGGTTTGATTTCATGTGTACCAAATATAATATAAAATTTGAATATTTTGATATTTGTAATCAAATTAAAATGTGCTTTGAAAGCTTTGTATTTTCAATGTTTTGAAATAGATATTTGCTGCACATAAATACTTAGAGAAGTTATGTATTTGGTTGCTAATTTTGTTCCGATTTTTAAATCTGAAATTATTCTATGTTTCTAAAGCCTTTATTATATATAAGATGTATAAAAATGAACCATTTTGTATTACAACTGATGCTCTATTTCCATAAAAAATTAAGACTGAAATGTTGGCAAAATTTTATTATTATTACTGATGGCCTGAAAAAGGAAGAAGTTGTTTGGTTAAGTTGTTTATTTTTTTCCAGCCACTTGAGATATGAATCTTAAATTAAATTAGCCTTAGGGACCTTTAAACCAAGGTAACATTTTCCCAAATTGTAGGTGAGTAAGCAGCTTTCCCCAGAAAACTGGTAATAGATTTCCAGAAAATATCTATTTTCCAAATATATACTGTTTTAATAAAGGCTTTAGAATAATTCTTTTTTATGAGATGTTTTGGTAATAATTTTAAATGTTGTAGTATTAAGCTAATAATTTTATTAATACATATTATGCAGAAATTTTTTAAGGTGTAAAATTTTGTGAGAATAAATATTTATTTGTCAAAAAAACTTTTTATGTAGTTTTGTTTTTCCTCTTTGGGATAATGATTTCCACTTGAAAAATAAATTT